TCGAAATTTGAGTTCGACCCCAATTTCAAATTTTATTATTTGTTGTTTCTCCAAGGAATGGAAAAGTTGTTCGTTTGTGTGAGATTTCCCTCAAAATTCCAGGATATACGGATGAAGAGGTCAAAGAGGGCGGCTATTGCAGAGGAAGCTGTGGGAGTTACTGTTTACGCGTTTTCTGGGTTTGCAGGGTCGTTTCTAATCGATGTTAATGTTTGAAGGAGACGCTGCTGGGTCTCACTGCTTATCAGCAAACTGGGCCGGGTCAAAGGGGAATTGGGCTGCTGGTCGGTTAAGTATTGGTGTTGTTATGGGTTTCTGAATGGGCATCGTTAGTGTTGGGTTTAGTTGTAAGAATATTGGGTTGCTGATTGTTGGAAATGGGCTAGCGAAATGGCCCCAAATTGTGGAGTTGCTGGAAGTAATTAATTGAAGAAAAGGGGCTTTGGGGCTGCTGAAGAGATGATGAGGATTGGGCTTGCAGAAGTTGGGCCTGCTAGCCCAAAATTGGCTCTTCAATAGTTGGAAATACATGGAGTAGGAATAAAAGCTCAAATAAACTTCAATTGTGACCAAATCAAATTCAATCAATGAGTTTGGTTGAAATTTAAACAAGATGTATTTACAAATTAATTAACGAGCTTTTTAATCTTAATAAAGATAAAATAATTAACTTAATTATAAACTAACTACCTCAAAATATGAGCTATTAATTAATTCAACTAAGTAACCAAATATTTAAATAAAACTAAAATCTTTTTTTTGGGAAATTTTTTGAATATTCGTAGAATATACCCATTAAACACATAATTGTATAAAATATCATATTTATTATTTTAACATTTATGAAAATGACAAAACTACTTGAAATGAAAAGAAAAAAAATATAAATTGAATTTTATAAAGTAAATTATTTCAAATCATTTAGAATTTAAGAAGCTCGATGATTAATTTATATTGTGGAGGTCCAAAATTGGGTGTCAATAACACAGATGTAAGGAGAAGGGAACTAGAGTTCCAAGTGAATGATTGGGTTTTCCTGAAGGTGTCACATATGAAGGGGGTGATGAGGTTTGGCAAGAAAGGGAAGCTCAGTCCTAGATATGTAGGCTCTTACCGGATCTTGAAAAGGATTGCCAGCAGATTTAGCAGCAATGCATCCAGTCTTTCACATTTCACTTTTGAAGAAGTGTATGGGTGATCCAGCATCCGTAGTGCCATTAGAGACTGTGCATGTAAAAGATAGTCTTTCTTATGAGGATGTACCAGTTGAGATTCTTGATTGTCAAGTTCGGAGGTTGAGAAACAAAGAAGTCGCTTCAGTCAAGGTTTGGTAGAGGAGTCAGTCCGTAGAGGGAGCTACTTGGGAAGCAGAAGCGGCCATGAAAGCCAAGTATCCCCACCTCTTTCCTTCCGATTCCACTCCAGCTTGAGGTAATAGTTCCTTTTCAGTTTTTCAGTCATTTATGCGTAAATTCAGTCTTAGAATCATGTTCCTTTAGTTTGCACTTGCATTTTCTGCGTATTTGCATGTTCTTGGAACTCAGTTCAGTCAGAAATTCATTTTTAGTGTTTAATGGTAGAGATTGTAGCCCTCTCCCTCAATTTCAGCTAGTTTAGTCTTCATTCGAGGACAAATGGTCCTAAGGGGAGATAATATAACACCCCATATCCGAAATAGACCTAAAATGCAGATTTTGAGAAGGTGCAGGTGCAACCTACGGTTGCCATCCACAGACTGTAGGTCAGACCACGGTTCGTGCTGATGGTCCGTGGCTCACCACTGCAACCCCTCCTTAAACCTATCTCAGAAAATCGGCTAAGTCTCGACCCACGGACAGACCACGGTCTGTGGTCTATTTCAGTGGATCGAGGCCCCCTTTACCCAACCTCTGACACAAACGACGGTCGACCAACACTTACCGTCGTTCGATCCACGGTCCGTAGGTTTGACCGTATGTGAGGGTCAGCGGCCAGTTAGAGGAAAATTATTGATTGGGTCATCTTCAAATGGTCATAACTGTTAGCACACAAGTAATTATATGTCCCATGACCTATGATATGATAGATAATTGAATCATCTTTCTAACGCCACCGAGTTTGCTCAAATTCGACCTCCGAGTAAAAAGTTATGCTCGTTTTAGTGAAGCCTTGTCGGGCAAACTTGACCTACGACCCCAATCTACGGACCGTAGATTGACCTACGACCCGTAGGTCCCGTCCGTCGATCACTCCGACAGTAGTGAAGTCAGGGGTCTTTTGGTCTTTTCATTTTCGTTGGACCCCTAAGCTACGTTGTTTAGACCCTAAATTATGAGGTTTTAGTCAGTTTAAGCCTAGAAACATAATTAGAACTTACCTAAGTCAAATCATTAATCAAAACATAGAAAATTAGAAGCAAGAGAGGAGAAAAAGGTCAAGAACCCTAGTTTAAGAACGCAGGAAAGTTCCATCAGTTCCAGCCCCGAAATCTAAAGATTTCTCCGTGGAATTCGTCACCAGGTATGTGGGATTTCACAAGTGGGTTCCTTTCACCTATTAGGTCCCTAGTTTTCAGTCAGTTTCTTGATTCCCTTATTATGACTAGACTTAGGGTTTCTTGGAAGTTAGAATTGTTGGGTTCTTAGCTGTTAGAATGATCCAAATAAGATTAGTACGTTTATATTCAGTTTAATGCATGAATTCCAGAACCCTAGATATGTATTTCTTTAGTTTCTTGAATTACACGTGTTAGGTCAGATATTTCAGTTATTTAGTTATACATGCCTTAGTTATTAATGCATCAATGCCAGTTTAATTGTTGCATTCTCAGTTTGGATGTTCAGTTTCAGCTATCCAGTAACTTACAAAAATTTAGTCATAATGTGTTAATTACTTAATCCATTGGGAGTAGCATAATACCGAGTTGGACTAAGGTTCAACGTACCCAAATAGTCCCAGAACTACTAGCCACGTAGGTTGTAAATCCCCTCTGTGGGCATCATTTCAGTGACCATGTCAGCATGCCTCTATACCTCTGGCAGGGTATATTGAGTCCTCTCGATGGGCGTACACATCGGACTCCACATTTAGCTCATGTGATTTTATTATCGATTATTAGTAGCTCCCACAGTTCAGTCAGATTCTATTGCATTGACCATTTGTCAGTATTCAGTTTCAAAATGTTATAAATTGGTCATTGCATTCAGTTATCTCAGCATTCAGTATCTATATCATGTTCAGATTATATCATTGCTTATTTGTTTTGTTCAGTTATATGTTATTTCAGTTGTATTCTATCCTGCATGTTCAGTACCTTTCAAGTACCGAATCATACTCTACGCTACATCTTCTCGTGATGTAGGTTCAGATTCTTAGCATCCAGATCACGCTTAGATCGGTTTTCGATCTCCAGTTTAGCAGAATCAGTGGTGAGTCCTTATTCTCCGAGGACAATAGTCATGAGTTTCTTTTCAGTATTTTTAGTCCTTTAGTTTCAGTTTTGCTAGACTTAGTTAGGGCCTGTCCCAGCATTTCTAGTCAGTTAGAGGTTATTTTCAGACATAGTTAGATTCAGCTTAGTATTGAGTTAATATCTTCTTTATATTTAAACTCATCAGTTTTCATATATCTCACTTATAGTATATGGGTATTCCCCATCTTTTCATTTTAATTATGTATGATTTTAGCTTCTGCATTAGTTTATTATATTTAGTATGCTCATGATCATGCCAACAAGATTAGCTTGGGATCACTTGTGGTCCTAGGTCCTATGTCCGCGTCTCGGGGGTAGTCTCGGAGCGTGACAGAAACATTAGTGACAAATTCAAGTCAGTTTTTTTATCACTTCCTTTTGTTCCTTCATTATACATCATTGTTAGAAGTTCTGCATTTTTCTATCCTAATATTCTAAAATTTTGAATTTACTAAAAAAGTAATTTTGTAACTTTTACATTTTATGAACTATGCATGGAGATCAATGTATTCACACACAATTGGAGAACAGGGGTGCGGATCGGATTATTAAATGATTTAAATAAATATCTTTTAAATTTTTTAAAATTTTAGTAAGAATTAAAAATTTCATGTTTGTAAATTTTAATGAAAAAAATAGATTGGGTGACTTTGTAAGTAAAACATTCATAGTTGAGTGACTTTCTGAGAAAATAACTCATAGTTGAGTGACTTTTAAGTCAAAAACCAAATTTGAGTGACTTTCTGAGAAAAGAATCTAAAGTTGAGTGACCATTTGAGATATTATCTCCTAATTAGAGTTTGGTACTTGAATAAGATTATTGTAGAGAGATTGTTTCACAAAAAAGTGAATCTTTATAATGATGAATGTATATTGTTATAGATAAAAAGAAAATTAATACAAAGGTATCAATGCCTTTCATTTATGTCCTAATATCGTCATTTTTTTCCTTTTTTCGAGAAGGTCTATAAAATTGATGGAGGAGTTTAGACAAGACTCTTAATTTGTATATTACTAAAAATAATAATTACTAAAATTAACCTATAAAGACATTTGAGTACAACAAAAAAAAAAGTGTTCGGGTGAGTATCCTTGCTATCGACACATCTACTGACTACTATTGATTGTCAATAACATTGAATTTGTATATAACGAAATTGAAGGTTTTGAATATCAAATGTCCATTTGGTAAATTTTAACTTGCTTGTCCAATAGCAAAAAACAATTAAAAATATAAAACTACCATTCTACTTACAATAATAGACCATTAAAGCAAATCTCAATAACACATTTTCTTTATTGAGCAAACTTGGGCTTAATTAACTTACAAATAAAAAAATGTTGAAATCTTTGTGATGAATACATGTTGCACCAAATTTAACTAGTGGAGTCCAATCACATTGAAAGCTCCATCGAGCATTGATAGTCAATTAGTCATTTTGAACAACTTTAATAAAATCGTAAGTTGCACACAAAAAAACTAAAAAGGAGAAGAAGAATACATTACAACAAAAAGAGAAGGAGAAAGTATTTAGTAATAAACATGACTTGGTCACTAGCATTGATTGTTCAAATATATGATTAAAGCCATTGGAGGTGACATTTTGACCAAAAACTACTTAGATTTATCACAATTTGTATCAAGAGATCCATAAACTTTCCCAAGATAATTGGAAGTTTCTCAGTGCCCTTTGTTTTGTTCTTCAAAGATGAATTAAGACAGATTGGTTGTGGACATAGAAAGAAACTTCGAGACACCAAATTCAGCAACTTCTCGTCTAGATTCAAGCCTGTACATTCCCACCATGAAACAAAATAGTTAGTCAAATAGACATTGCAACTAGCTACACAGTTGCAATAGAATTCAATTAAATCAACTTTGTCTGAAAATTATATTGTATGTATATAAATAGGGCAAAATAAAATTGTGCTTATATATAAATTGTTGAATCCTTTTGACATAATTAGTTTTCTTGTTCCCTGAATCAATTCAAAAATTTCCTAGTTGACAAAAAAAAACAGAGAACTTACTCTCCAAACTAAACTGGGAGTAATGAAGCTCGTAACACCGAGAATCGCTACTGGGCAACAACGGCCGCCGCTTCTCCTTCACGTAAATCTCAATCGCAGCCTTTATCAACTCCCGGACGGTGTTTTCCGGCGACATTACTACATGTACCGGCCCCACACTGTTCTGTATATTCACTTTCACTAACAGCTTCGTTAGCTTCTGTTGCTTCTCTTGACTTATTCCAGCTGAAACATCTACCCTGGCACCGTGCTTTCGCACTGAATGCTCTAATTTTCTTTGTATCGTTCCAATTTTATCACATGTTTTCGTAAGGACTTTTGAATTTGTACGTGGTTCAGCGAGTCTCGGATGAAATCTCATTTCTAAAGGAATCTCAATTGAAGAATATCTAAGTTCGAATTAGAAAAGTCTCCAATCGCTATATATCATACTAGGATTTAATGTTCATCAATTTTATATGATGATTGTAACAAACTAACAATATGGAGAGACTTTCAAATAATGATAGTAATTTATTTGGCTGACATGCTGAATGGAATCATTTTCAGTTGATAGTTTGTGTTTCAGCATATAGCGGGAAGCTTCTAGGAAATTGCAGATTTCATTATTTTGTCGCTCTCAAAGATTTGCTAGATTATCATTTACCACAGTCCACATAGCTATTTAAATTATTGAAAAAGGTCTGACGTATCTCGTTGGTATACTCTTTGTTACTCCCTCCGTCCACTATTGTTTGTCAGGTATACTAAAAATAGTTGTCCAAAATTAATTATCAATTTAAACTACTTTAATGTGAAAAAAAGTTGTTTTTCCAGTTTTCAAAAAGTACAAACCATTTTAATAATGATTGATACTAGGGTTGTATTAGTCAAATTGCACCTTATATTAAAATTTTCTTAAAGGTTATGTGATCTTAGGCATAAGTTGTCAATATTGGTCCATGAATTGATTAGAATGAAGAATGATCTTTAATTACTAACTTGATTTTTGGTGTAACTTGTGATAATTGTGCACTTACACACATGATTAGTTGTTTCAGGAACACTCGAAGGAATTGGAGTTGGAACGAAGAAAGAAGGAGCAAAAATGTGCAAGAAAATGGCAAAGGCAAAAATCACCAGTGGTTGGCGCACTAGTTAGCGCGGTGCGCCACTGGTGGCACTTCAGAGTCCCTCCTCAAGCGTGCTGAGAGGAGGAGACTTCAGAGGCAATCTGTAGGCGCGATGAGAGGCGCGAAGCTCCACGAAAGTTTCGACTTTTTCAAGTTAAAAGGCTTAAAATAGGATTCCTAACTGTAGTAGGTTTTGACTCCAAGTTATCCTACTATTATAAATAGATCCTTAGGGCTCCATAATTGTGGTTGGACGTTTGATTTAGTGTGCAAGAGCAAGAATTCAAGTTTGTAATAGGTTTTAATCCTTTAACTATTTTCCGGAAATTGCATGAACTATTGTATTTTCTTGTGTTCTAATAGCATGAGTAACTAAGCGCCCTAGTTCTGGGGCTGTAGCTACGAATTGATTGTTGATTATTTGAGGTTGTTGAATTAATTTTCGGTTGTCAATACAAGTTACTTCTATATTCTTGTTTTAGTATTTTATGCTTGCGTACCATAAGATAAATCTATTGTCTAATCTTAAAATTGAGAGAGGAGAGGTTAGATAGACCAGAGAATATAGAGAGCTCGGTCCACCCATTAAATTGAGGTGATTAGTGTTCAGGAGTGACGCCCAGACGAACACCTTACTTGGTTACGAAATAGGATGAAATATAAATGTTCGCCAGTTAGTCTATTTATCCCCGCTCAACGATGTAGTTAGATAGCTAACTGGGGTAGGCGACGAGAGGCGTATAACCCGGATCATATCATTAACCCTATAAACCAGTAACTTGACAACTGAGATTAGTTCTAAGCCAATAATATGATACATGATATTCTTTATATGTTGCAGCCCTGGAATTGCTTTTAACTTGCTTGAAACATTATATCAAAGTCGTTCACAATTAGTTACTTTCAATTAGTGCATAATTATTAGTAGATAAACAATAAATCATCAACTCTTGAAAATGTTACTTTTTACTTTTAGTTGTAGAATTAAGTGAATATAAGTTGATCATAAGTCCCTTGGGAAAGATAACTCATTTCTTTAAGAATCTATATTACTTGCGCGACCACGTACACTTGCATGTATATTGGGGAGCAACATTATGCATGATCTTACCCTGACAAACAATAGTGAACGGAGAGAGTACCTATAAAAGTGATCCACGTGTATCTTTATCATTATAAAAATGGAATGAAAAGAAATACTCAGTAGCTCATATATATTCTTATAATTACAAAAGTGGCTCATATATACTTTTTAATTTAATAGTTAAAAAAATTAATTTAAATTAATTTTTTAATTTTTAATTATAAATAAATTCATATATATATATATATATATATATATATATCCATTTCACACAAGATTTTTTTATTAATTCTAGTGATTATTTTTTGAGTTTCTTATTCTTATTTTAATTCTTTCTTTCATTCTTTAAGAAGTAAAAAAATATAAGACATCAAAAAAAGTGTGAATGGAAAATAATGAAAAAATTGTAACTAATTTTTGTTCTGAATATACTATAATTAGATATAAAAGAATTGGGGCATATATGATAAATTTTACAAGAAAGTGAAAAAAAAAAATTTGACAATCAAAATAATAAATTGAAATTATTCATTGAATTAAAGAAGCCAAACAAAAATATATACTTGTGAAAAGGATCAAATAAACCCCAACATAATTTTTTTCTTAAAACCATTTTTTTTTTATTTTTTCACTTCTATTAAAGAAAAGGGTATATGTGAGTTATTTGTGGAACAATAAAAATATATATGAACCGTTTTTATAATAAGGGATATATCAACTCCAAAGTTAAAAGACATATCATGTCATTTTCCCTAAATCTAGTTATGAGTAATCAGAGAAACTGTTTTTTCCTTCAAAATATTAGATATTCATTCCAATGAGAATCAATCTTCTACTAATTTTGATTAAAATATTAATATTAATCAAAAGCACATATATAAAGTATTTCTCTCCCTATATATTGAACTGATGAAGAACTAACTACCTCTTAGCTTGTAGAGAACACAACAATATGGGTGGTCTTATACACACTATACAATTTATTTTTAGAATTTTTGGTTGGTTAATTTCACTTTAATTTCATTGTATAATTTTCTATTTAATTAATTAATTTCTGATTGAGTTTTGCTTCTCATTTGCTTTTCTTTTTTCTGCTAATTAACAGGAAATATTGCTTCTCTCTTTCTCTTCTTGGTAGGCACGTAAGTATAATCCTAACAACACTTTTCAGAATGTAAAAATGAGTTTCTTTTGGTAAAGAAACTCATGTTCTTTATGTCTATACAAATTCATGCAATTCACCCCCCCCCCCCACCATCCCCCCACCCCCCTTTTAATTAATATGACATTTTTTGAATTTTGAATGTCAAGCAAATATTATTCTTAATTAATTGAAATAATAGATTTATCTCACATGAAAAATCATTTTGAAATCAAGAGTTTTCTTTAGTTCAATATTTCTAAGAATTAACACTTTAAATCCAGATAAATGATAAATTGTAATATATTTTTTGTATTCTTCGATGATCAATCTTAACTAAATAAAGAGAACTATTGGTCATTTATCTTTTATCAGTCACTTTTTTTTTTTAATATTATCATAAAAAAAATTCCGCAATTATTCTATTCTTGATTATGAATAATCAGTAAAATTGTTTTTTTCCCTCTAAATGTTGGGTATTCATTCTAATGAAAATCATTATTTTGACTATAAGTTATACACACTAATAATATAAATAATTTTAATTTCAATACATTTTGTTTGTTTGATTGAATTTAGATATACATTCAAGAGAATCATGAAAAATAAATTGACGAAACAATTCTTTGACATACCTTATGTTATGACATTTCTGAACTACTATTACTCGTACGTAGATTGTATTATGAATATCTATAAATATTTGAACTCATAAATATTCATATTTTATCATATACATATTCCATAGATATCGGATCATTCTTGATATTTTTTTAAGTGTTTTCATGATAACCAAAATATTGTAAAAATATATCAAAAATGGTCAGATATCTGTGAAATGTGTATAATTAAATATGAGCATTTATTACTTCAAATATTTATAGATATTCGTATGCATATTTACGTACTAGTAACAACAATTCGAAAATGTCATAACATAAGTTATATTAAATATTATTTTGTCAATTTGTTTTTAATGATCCTCTTGAATGTATACCTAAAGTCAATCAAACAAAATTTATTAAAATTAAAATTATTTATATTATTAATGTGTATATATAGCTTATAGTCGAAATAACGATTTTCATTAGAATGAATATCAATATTTAGAGAGAAAAAAATAGTTTCACAGATTACACATAGCCATAAGAATAGAATAATTGCGGAAAAAAATATAATAATGATATTAAAAAAAGTGGTTGACAAAAGATAAATGGGCTAATAGTTCTCTTTAATTACTTAATTAAGATTAATCATCAAAGAAGTATAAAAAAATAATTTAAATTTACAATATATGATTTATCTAAATTTAAAGTGTCAATTCCAAAAATATTGAACTAATTTTATTAAAATTTCAAAATGATTTGTCAGATAAATTTATTAATTTAATTTACTAAGAAGTATTTACTTGAGACTCGAAATTCAAAAAGTGTCCGTTTAATTTTAATTAATAAAAGGAGGAAATTGCATGAATATAAACATAGGCATAAAAGCATGAATCTCTTTACAAGAAGTGTTGAATTCCACCATTTCTGATGAACCTTAAGATCTAGAATGGATCTTTGAGAGTAAATAAACTGATTGCTTTGTATTGATAATTGTTGATCCTTTACAACTGAATGAATTAAGAAAATATCTAGCTAACTACCTCTATTTATAGCTAATACAAATTAGTTTACTAACTAACTAATAGTCCTGTTATCAATTATGTTATAACAGAATTTGACAGCTATACATGATCCATTTTCTCTATTCTTTTCTATTCTTTTATTATTTCAACACCCCCCCCCCCTTCAAGCTAGGTGGTGAAAAAATGTTTAAGACGCCTAGCTTGGACATCAAATGATAATGCTGAACTCCTCCAAGTCCCTTAGTCAATAGGTCTGCCTCCTGCTCATTTGTTGAAACATACTCTGGATGTATTAGCCCTTGCTGGACCTTTTCTCTTATGAAATGACAGTCTATTTCTACGTGCTTTGTCCTCTCATGAAACACAAGATTGCTTGCTATCTGCATTGCTGCTTTGCTATCTGTAAGTAGTCGAATTGGTGTAGTTATCTCCACTCCCAAAAACTTAAACAATCCCAGCAACCAAATTAATTCTGATACTGTC